GGACTATACCATCTTTTGTAAAATAGGGGGAGCCATACTAAGTGTTCCGTTCCGTTCTTGCGCTCGTGACTCGACTGAACAGTAGGTCAAACATGCCACAAGGTGGTGACAGTGACAGGGGAGTGAATCGGGAATCGTTTGGCGATACAGTTCCGCATTCCGCTGAAGTGAATCATGAATCACGTTCCGCAGGAAAGAGTGGCGATTCAGTTCCGTTCTCGCGCTTGCGACTCAGCAGTAGTTATCAGTTGTAGTTTGTTGTTATCTCGACAAAGATAAATACCAGTGTAAGACTACCTTAAAAACCAAGTAAAAGCAACTAAACTAGGACGTTTGTGTTGATATTTGCTGTTATTTTGTTGTTATCAGTTGTTATTCATTGCTATCAGTTTTTATTCGTTGTTATCAGTTTTTATTTGTTTTTATCTGGACAAAAATAAATACTGGTTCCATTGTATTAATTCATCCAAATCACTAACCGACATTGCAATGGCTGCAGATGGCCCGTCTTTGAAGTCTCCCAAGGTCTTGGCCTCGTCCCCCTGGTAGGTCGACACTTGACCTATCACGATAAGGCGCCCAAAGTTTGCCAAACTGTAGAAGTAAAAAGATTAGAATTGTAGATTTAGATCTATGTTTTACGCCCCCATCAACACAGTTTACATCAAGTGACTCAGATCCAAGTTACCCATGGGGACCGCTTTAGGTAGAGTCTGGATGAGCCTGGGCCTCATTAACTCACTTGATCCTGAATTATTTTTCACCTAACAATCATAGCAGCCAGACGGTTTTGGGGTAGCCTATATTGAATTGTTGACCACAAAAAGACTGAGAAAGCTATAATAATTTTTTTTTAATGTAAAAAGAAAGAAAGAAATGCCCTCATAGGAAAAGAAAACTGCGTCTAATTTGTCTGAACAGTTTCTATTTTGTCAATATTTTAAAATTATGGAAATGTCTGCAGGGAGTTACGCAATTTTTGTGTGTGCCCAATTTATAATAAAATTGTATTGACTTCACTGAGTTCCCGAACACGCAACACTTGAATCTTGAACAAATCCACTTCACATTCTCAACTAAAGACCCGGCTTTACAGCCTTTCTGGCCACGGGTAAGTGTTTCTTTGATAGTGTGTTAGCCAAAACATGGTCCTTGTCTCACCAAGAGAGGCTGGAGGAAGGGGGGAACGGGGAAGGGAGGTTGGGGAGTGATGCTGACCGCACTGCATGACTGTCTCGTGACACGTGCAATCATGCAATTGGACTCGCGCGATGCGGATGGGAGCTAACACATTACATGTAATCGTTTTAAAGTTCTTTTTACCTCCCTTGATTTTCTCTCTATTTCTTTGTATTTGGGGCTTTCAAGGAGATGACAAATTATGGAAATCTCAAACACTATTTCCTATCCCGACGAATTCGAGTTACCAGTGTTTGACTGTAATTAAAAAGTCAAGATTCTTTGGCCATGCCTGTCAGGACTAACTACTACGGCAGAGTATTTCAGAAAATAGATAGACATAGATAGGTGAACAGACAGACAGACAGACAAACAGACAGACAGGTGCAAAATGAAGAAACTACTATTTTCTTTGAAAGCCGAATTGTGAAGCAGCGTGGTGAAATCAGGGGCTTGTCAAAATAATTAAATCAGAGAAATGGTCATTTTTCTGCAGGTTTTGCAATTTAAGAAAAAAAATATTTTTGGTTGAGCACCTTTTACATATGTCGAGAAGCACATTTCTGCGAAGATTTCAATGAAAAAAGTTGATAAATGTCACCCAAAAATTATAATTACATGTACAAGTTTCCAGGGTCTCTCAAGCTATGTATGTAAGATACCAGACTTTGATGGCCATTTTCTTGCTAATTCTACCTCTGAAATCAGGTGACCCCTGCCTCCTTCAATTGCAAATATCTCGACTTCTATTCAAGGTAGATGGGTAATTTTCTAATCACAAGAAAGAAAAATGAACCAGCTTTATTTCACCAATAACTTCAATAACTCAATACACCCAAAAATTGACGTGCGTCTGTTCCCCCATGTTGTTACACAATTGTTAAATAAAAAAGACAAGGGTCAGATACTCTGTCCCGGAACACTGAAGTCAACTTTGGTAAAATGCGAATTCCTAAGGAACTCAAAATACTTACTGTTTCAGAGATGTGTGGAAAATTTCTTTGCCAACGGACTCGTATACAACATCTACACCAGACTGGAGAAAATAAAAATATTGATAAAAATGGTACTTAAATACAAGAAACACAAATTTGCAATGAGTGTGTGTGTGTGTGTGTGTGTGTGTGTGTGTGTATGTGTGCGTATGGGGGGGAGGGGGGTAACGAGAAGTTAGTACCTCCTACACAAACCCGCTGTGGCTGGTTGTTCAAACTGTGGAAACTGCTCTAACGAACACTAGTCCACGACAATCAACTGTATATGGCTACTTCTAAACACCCCTCCTCCCTTTGTGGTTTTTCTGTTTTATAAAGGCACTGCCCAAGAAGTCCACCTGTCTAACACAACCACTCATTTCCTCGACATTGGGTGGCCATCATGGACAATTTCGACTGTACTTAGTCTCACTCTTTTCTAATAAAAGTAAATGTAAGTACCACCCCCTCTCACCCTTGTAATTTTAGAAATAAAAACATTTGGCTTCTCACTCTCACCTGTCTTCCCTTTCTACTCCCCCCTACTCCTCCGCCCCCCC